AACCACCATGCCCAGCCTGGGATCAGTCTATCATCTATCTATCTATCTACCTACCTACCTACCTACCTACCTATCTATTAATCTATCTATCTATAATCAATCCATCTATTTATCTATATACATATATCTTTGCTTTTTTGAGATGGAGTCTTGCACTGTTGCTCAGGCTGGAGTGCAATGGCGCCATCTCTGCTCACTGCAATCTCCACCTCCCAGGTTTAAGTGATTCTCCTGCCCCAGCCTCCCAAGTAGCTGGGATTACGGGTACATACCACCACTGATTTTTGTATTTTTAGTAGAGATGGGGTTTTTTCATGTTGGACACGCTGGTCTCAAACTCCAGACCTCAAGTGATCTGCTCACTTCAGCCTCCCAAATTGTTGAGATTACAGGCATAAGCCACAGTGCCCAGCCTAATCTCTGTGTTTTTTTAAAAGTTACACATTTTGGGTTTAGATAGTTTTAAATGTATATACAGAGTCTTCATGTGTATAATTTTAATACTTGCCCAATATTCCACCCAGTGAATACCAAGCCTGCCTGATAGTTTTTTTCAATGCTTTGTATAAGAATCGATGGCATGTTTCTTAGATCTTCACATGACACAAGACTAGAGGGAAAGCTAATAAACTGGATGACAGAATAAAGACTCAGACTTCAACAGCTTGGAGCAAGGGGCTAGAACTAATGAGATGAAATATATAGGGATCAATGTAGAGCTTTGCTCTTGGGCCAAATGGCCAAGTTCAGGATGAGAAAAGTAGGAGAAAGGCCAAGGGTTTTTGCTGAAAGCAAGCTCAAAGTGGGTCAGCAGAGTGACAGAGTTGGCCAGATACTTCAGTCATCCTTGCGGGCAGGGTGGACAGAAGCAGAAGTAGAATATCTACAATTAAAGACAAGATTACTCTTAGGCCCATGTATGTTGTTGCAAATGGCTTGCATGTAAAACTGGTGAAATCGGAATAAGGCCATTGGATTTTACCAGTGTTGATTTCCTGATTGTGATAGTATACTACAGCTATGCAAGATGTTATACCTGGGAAAAATGGGTGAAGGATTTACAGGTTTCTCTCTCTAGTATTTCTTACACTTACAACATAACTAAAATTATCTCTAAATAAAAAGCTTGAAAAGATCAGATTGCTTTTGAACTCCGTCTTCATCTTTTCACTGAATTGTTCAGTAGCCATGTGGAGCACCTTTATGTCTTAGGCCCCTCTATGGCAGATGCAAAGCTAACTAGGCTAGGAGTCTCAGTCTGTTGGGAGAGAGATGCACAAATGTTTTGAAATACAACAGTTTATGTAATGTAATGGTGATATGTTTAGAATGCTATGGGAAACACAGAAGAAGCCTGCAGCTGAGAGTGGGGTTAGAATGTGTACGAAAGGCTTTAGAGCAGGTAGCACTTTGGCAGCAGCAGGAAAGATGAGTAAGAGCTTGCCAGGCTGACTAGGTGAGGATGGGCATTCCATTGAGAGGGAATAGCATGTGATGTACAAAGGTCTGAAGAGCTGACACACTTTCCTGTAGTTGGAGAACAGCATAATGTTGACTAAGAAGGAGAGCAATAAAAGACTGGAGAGGCAAGATTCAGATTAGCAAAGTCCTGTGTGTTATGGTAAAGAGGCAGGATTTTACGGAGAAGATTCAGATATTCTGGCAGGCATAAAGCCAGCAGGGGCCAGGATGTGACAGGTACTTAGAAAGAAACTTCTGCATAGCAGGTGGGAGACGTTGTTTGGAGAGAAGACCAGATCGGAGGCAGAGAGACCAGTTAAGAGGCTGTTGCTACAGTCCTTGGGAGAAATGATTTAGGCCTGAACCAAGACAGTGGGGTGAGAGTGTGTGTGTGTGTGTGTGTGTGTGTGTGTGTGTGTGTGACAGAGAGAGACAGAGGGAGAGATATTTTGAAAATAGAACTGATAGAGCTGAGTGACATACTTGATGACGTGTTTCATGAGGGAAGGGGTAAGAGTCCCATATGACTCCTAGGACTCTGGTGCCATTTAATGAGTTGAGGAATTAAAGGGGATATAGGTTGGAGGTGAAAATATGGAGATAAGGGATAAGGAATTTAGTTGTAGACATCCTGTGTTTGACAAGCATATGAAACAGCCAGATGTATTCAGGAAGCATCAGGAGATGAGGGCTAGATCAAGTTAGCTTCTTTTCTTCTCTCACAAATCCTGTGCCTTCAGAATGATAATGTCGTTCTAATTATTTCTCTACAGCAGATGAAGGCCAGGTAGTCCCAATATGCAATACCAAACACAAACCCCTAGCAGTAATGTCATGTGGTTGTCAACAAGGACAATGAGTTTCCCTTAAATTGCATGCCTAAGGAGAAAAGATTATTGTCTCTCTCTCTTTCTTTCTTTCTTTTTTATTTATTTATTTCTTTTTCTCTTTCTTCCTTCCTTCCTTTCTTCCTTCTTTCCTTCTTTCTTTTTTTGTTGTTTTTTTGAGACGGAGTTTTGCTCTTGTTGCCCAGGCTAGAGTGCAATGGTGCGATCCCGGCTCACCACAGCTTCCACCTCCCATGTTCAAGCGATTCTCCTGCCTCAGCCTCCCGAGTAGCTGGGATTATAGGCATATACCACCACGCCCGGCTAATTTTGTATTTTTAGTAGA